CAATTTTTCCGACTCCAGAGTCTAACTTGGGTAATGAAAAATGGGTACTTGACACTTTCTAGGAAGACAATGAAGCGCTTATTTCCCCTGGTTTTATTTTAATAGGCTTTTTGCATGATCCGGTCACATGGTATGGAATTAATTATGCTGGGACGCAGGTTACACAGTGGGACTTCCAAAACAAAGGAACTCGTACCAGTCCAGCCCGACTCTCCTTTGTTTTAGAAGTCCCAATGTGTAACTTGCGTCCCAGCATAATTTATTCCGTACTATGTGACCGGATCGTCCAAAGGGCCTATTAAGCGCTTTGACAAAGTCAAAACAAAACCACCAAACGTTTTTTGCCAGGAAAGCAAAAATTTGCTTCGAATAATCGAGCGTTGAGAAGAATCGAAGGTTCCAGATTTCAGGATTTGCTGGCATGTTTGCAAGGTCAAAAGTTGACTTTGTACCGACTCCTGAAACCAACGCGAACATGGACTTTTGCTGTTCTTTGATTGGTTGCTGCATGGAGTAGCCAATCAAGAACATGGATCTCAGTAGAGCTACGTCATCAGTTTGGAATTATTCGGCTCCAGTCCCAGAAGTGTCTCGACCGGGAAAGGAATTGAACATGCACAGAGAGATACCTCGTTATTCAGGACACAAAGGTTTAGAACCAAACTAAACTCACGTCTAACTTAGCGAGCCTCTTGACAAACTTGATTCCTTGATAATCCTGACAACGAACAAAAGCCTTCTCCGCTACTTCTAGCTCCAGTCTCTCAAGGGATGACTCGGCCAACAGGCGCCTGCAATGACAGAGGTACGTGTAACGGTAACGCGAGTGAACAGTGAAGTAGAAAATCATTAAATTTTCTCCAAGTAAACTTGTCCATTGTACCCGGAATTAAAGAACCCACTCTTAAAACTGTAGTCTGCAAATGCAGAGAACGTCTCTTTTGACGCTTCATTCTTACCGCCTAAAAACTAAAAACTCCAAATTCCAAATTTTCTACTCCAAACAACGTTTCTATTTACAAACAAATTAATGTGTTTTGAACAAGTCATAGTAAAATCAGTCAAAAGTTTCCATCATTGTGAGGATTTTGGCGTCTTTTTGCCCGCTTTTTGTTGATGTCTGGGAGGCTGAGTTGGGTCATTTGGATTTGACCACATGCAAACAAATTTTTAACATGTGATGTAAATCAGTAATTTTTCTTTTAAGCTGTAAGTAAGTATGTAAATGCAGGTTTTGTTTAGCAAGTGGTTTAAGTATAACAATGTAAGTAGTGTAAATATTGTATTGTATAAGAACCGTAATGTAAATAATGTAACGTAATGTAAGAAAGAGTTTTTCCGTGAAGTATCTAAATGTAGGTAATGTAACTATCGCATTGCAAGTAGCATTCGTTCTGTGGAATTAAAAGAAAAAGTGAGAATTGGTTCTTCCAGTGGATTCAGCAGTTTTTCGATAACCAAGGGGAATATGTCAAGGTACATGTATGAAAGGAAGAGAGCTGTTATAGCTGCGTTTTACCAAATGATTTACACTCATACCATAATCTAGGGTGAGGATTATCTTCGATAAACTGGTACGCATCAGGAATGCCAACTTTTTCCAGCAGGTCACCAGCATCGCGCAGAGACTGTAAAAAAAAAAATGTGTTGATAAGTGAATAAAAATGGTGTATTTTAAGCTCGGTAATGAAATGTGAAAGGTGATCTGATCAACATGACTCGAGCGTGGGACAAAGAATAAATCTGAGTCCCCGACAGGAATAAAACCCATGACCTCCCGAACACCAGGCGGGCGCTCTATCCACTGAGTTAATATGTGACAGGCATAAACTGCTAGGATCAGAACTTTCGGAGTCATCTTTATTCACTTATCGCTACTCACTGAGTATCAGCGAGTGGTTAAAGGTACATATTACCACTGTTGGAGGTTTCTTTATCCTACCTTAACTTCCAAGTCCATCAAGTTTTCTTTGTTTGGATGGTCGGGATCCTGTTTAAAAAGAAAAACAAGGTTTGAATTGCATCCTTGAACTCTTCCATGCCCAAGGTCCACATGTAAATTCTGCTGACGGACTTAACGCAAAACACGACGGTACCGGCAACCAGGACGTCACCAAACTAAAGAATCAATAAGCACAATGCAGTGGCGGATCCAGACCTTAGCTAGACCTTGAGCTAAGGTGGGGGGCAGATAAGGGGTGGGAAGGGGGGGTGCGGGCCTCCCGGGTCCTTCCCCTAGATTCGCCACTGCATTGGACGCGTATTATGTACCTTGATACATTTCGTAGCCGTCCTTTGGAAATCAACAACATAAAATGACCAATTTCCAAATTCGTTGACGAACATGTAACAACACGGCTCTAATTTTTCGCCGCATTTCTATTTGGAACCGAGCGCATTCGTAGCATATTCAGCAGGGCAGGTTTTTAGACCGACAGAAATGCTGAACAAATCTTGATAACTACGAAATGCGGCAGTAAAATGTTAAAACATTTTCTAACAGGCGTCGTCCTGGCCGTCACTGTTGTATATGCGTAAGGTCCCTAAGGTGAAGGTGATATATCGACAACACATCCTCCACTACAGCGTTTCAAAGAAATGACCAAGATTGGAGACTAGTCCTCAGTTATCCGCACATTTGCCCTCGATGGAACCATTCAAATATTTTGGGATTTCAATTTCAGTTTTTCGACTTACCTTCATGATCTCATCCAACAGCACAGCCCTCACCTCCAGGTCATTGAACTGACAGATATAGCCGGAGCTCAAGATCGGCTCCTACAGCAAAAACAGTTTGAACATTAATGACAAAAGACAAGAGAAGGCGAGATCAGTCTGGCAAATATTGTCCCTCCTCAACCCTACTACACCCAGGTATATTAATGGGTACCGGCGAACTTAATGCTGGGGGTAACCCTGCGATGGACTAGCATCCCATCCAGGGGGGAGTAGAAATACTCCTAGTCGCTTCATGCTACAGAAACCGGGAAAACCTCCGGCCTGGTGGGCCATTTGGCTCGTATACAGACGTAACCTTTTACTATCAACCCTACTACAAGAAAGTAACGCGATAGAAAACTTGTTTTTCATCAGTATCTTCAGAATTACTATCAAATTAGCTATATATTGAGCGAACAACAGACCTGAGTGCCTAACATATACTACATACGTTGAACAGGAAAGCGCACCTCTTTACCCATTCTGTTGGAATGATTTTAACAGGCTGAATAAGCATACCCCTATTTTGTCTAAATCTACTAGCGTTCTATCATGAATGCCGTTCTCTCATTACCTATGCTACTCGTATTCTATTCTGTTGTAGATTGTGAGCAGCCTAGAAGTCACGGTGTACAGTTGTTGACAAAACAACGGTCGCTTCTTTGCGTTTTCGAAGTGTCAGTGAAGAGGATTTGGATAAAGTTTTGAACGACTAGTAGATTTATACTAAGACAATTAGATTATTCGCTCTCGATTTCTATGCGTGATAGTTGATTCGGGCTGCACCCTTGTCAACTTTCACGCGATAGAAAGCTCAAAATCTAATTGTTAAGTAGTATAAAACCCGACAAAATTGATTTGATTTTGTGGAGCAGTGCCAGATAAACGGGAGACCATTAGGAAGTGATCGAAGAGTGAAAATATAGACGAATCATTTGGTATCTGTACATCACGCTCTAATGTCTCTAATCCCAGCGACAAGCAATAACAGACTATCACAAAATGGAAAAACTAAGCCAAAACTCAATGCCGTTATGACTCAAAAAAATAATTACCCGTCATGGTAGTGGAATATTGTAAAACACTTAATTTCGACAAGCAAAGGGTTGTTGCTCTTTAAGACAACTAAGTTGAAACAAAGTTTTTTCTCTCTACTCATTGTGGTGTACAAGTACCTCAGGGTCGAGGTTACGGAATATATACATCCTTGTCTTCTCCATCATGGCAAACAGCTCTGCGTTATCCTGTGAAATAAAGTACAGGACATCGACAAATTGAACGATAAATAAATCTTTGCTAAAATCCATTATTCACATTTATTATATCTATCAGTTACACGAGCGCTGTGATTTGTCAATTAAGCGGGCCGTATTCTATACTGAAGGGCTCGCTAAAAGTTTTCAAATCGTCCGCTCGGCTTGGGATGGTTCCCCAACCCGTCTGGGACACAGTGGAGATATATTAAATATCGTCCTTCCGTCTTCTTTTCGGTCCCTACTGCAACTTACGGACAATGCTGATGCTCTATTCTAAACCAAACTGCAAATAGAATATGGTGTTCCTATGTTTTCTCAGAAAATAATGCACTTTTCAGGTCTAGAAAAACTGCTGAACACACAATCGCGTTGCACTCGTGCGTTCAGAGGCAGTTTTTCTACACCTCAAGCACGCATCATTTTCATAATTTAAGCCTGGTTTTCACTAGCGACGCAAGCACAAGCGCAACAATTCTCATTTCACCGTGAAAACGGCCTCGACGCAGGCATAAGCACAAGCGCATGGATAAAAAATTTTCCTTTTTCTTGTGCTTGCGCTTAAGCTCGTGTTTGCGCTGCAGCAAGTGAAAACGAAATACCGCTCAGGCATACCACAAGCACAAGGATATTTACCGCACGTAGATATGTTTGGCCAATGAAAACACTGGATCCAGATTACCTCGCGCCTAAACACTCCATTTCGGAATGTTCGGATGATTTTGCTTGTGCTTGTGTTTGCGTCGAATTTCATTATCATTAGGGTCATCCCTATTACCTGCGCTTGTGCTTGTGCTTGCGTCGCTAGAGAAAACCAGGCTTTAGAGAACACAAAAAACTGTCTTCTTTTTGGTAAAGAAACCATAACAAAACGATTTTTGACATTTGGTAAGACTCACGTCTGCCCACTTCATGTCCCACACGTCTTTTCTCTCAAACTTCAGATGTTCACCGACCACTGTTTCGTTTCTTGAAGGATCGGCCTTTCGCACATCCTGTTAAATTCAACAACACGAATTAAGTTGTTTAAAAAAGAGCATTATCTGGTTCAGTATCATTTTATTCACTAAATAACCTGTTTTCAAATAACTTACTAGTTCAAAGAATGATAGAACTCCGGAAATGTCGATGATAGCCAAGCGTCTGTGCAAAGAAAAAAGAAAACACTATAGGTTTGCCTTTATTGATTTTTGCCTTTATTTACATATTCATTCAACACCGTTAAATGACGATAATAATAATTTAATGTGGGTGTTTATAATGCACATGTATAGGTTTATTACGCCATTTCCGCGCTGCCTTTTGTCTCTATGTCAAAACGAGTCTACGCGCGAAACCATTCATATGAAAATGTGTTCTGCCTTCAGGTTCATTTTCATGTTAATCAAACTCATTTTCCTATGAAAGGTTTCACACGAGGACTCGTGGGGCACAAGGTAACTCGGAAATGGCCTATTGTATATGCATGGCATTTTCGTATTTATATTTTTGATTGGTTTTATCGCCAGAAGATGTTACAACAGTTTCTAAGTTTCTGAGAGATGGACAATTTTATTTTTGATGCGGGGAGGGGAAAATTATATATATATCTAAAATCTTGCCCAAGATAGACCAAAACATTCGTACAAAGCGAGCCACACAAAAGAAACATGACGAAAACTTTTTACTGACGACTTCTCAAGACAAGTTGTCGTGACAAAAAAAAAGATGTCATGACAGCTTGTCACAAGCACGTGTCACGACAGTTGGTCAAAGCAACACGGTTTGTTTCAAAGGGTATAAGGCTGGTCAGAAGTGGGACTCTACATACTGCTTAGCAAAGGGCAAGAGCAATCTTGAAGATATTTCGGCCAAAAAATGCCACGGTACTGTAAAGCTAGATTTGAGTTCTTACGAGGAGATGCAGTTTAGTGAAAGTTGGTGTGGGCGACAGTTGAGCACATTCTTCATTTCCAGTGCGAGCTTGGGTAATGAGTAGCGATGAATGGTTCCTGATTCACGGCCCTAAAAAATGAAACCAAAAGCATATGAGTCTGTCTGTCTGACCGTTCGTCTGTCTGGGTCTCAGAGTATTTTACAGCAGGCCAGTCAGCCCTTCAGGTATGCCGTCAGCCAGATCCTCCGTCTGTTGGTCTATCCGTCAGTCCGTCCGTCAGTCAGTCCGTTCGTCAATCAATCAGTCATTCAGTCAGTCCTTAGAACTGTCCGTCCGTCTGTCTTTCCATCCGTCAGTCCGTGAGTCAGTCCCTCCGTTAATCAGTCAGTCAGTCAGTCTGTCAGTCCCTCCGTTAATCAGTCAGTCAGTCAGTCAGTCTGTCCGTCCGTGTGTCCGTCAATCAATCCGTCCGACAGTCACTAAGTCCTCCCGCCAATGGGTCAGTCAATCAGTGAGTCCGTCTGTCCGTCCGGTAATAAGTCTGTCGGTCAATCAGTCAGCAAGTCAGTCAGTCAGTGAGTCGGTCAGTCAGTGCGTGGGTGGGTCAGTCAGTCAATTTTGAATACCCACCATTTCTTTATGGGTTCCATTAGTTATTAGACAGTGGGAAGCATCTAACGAAAACTACGATGATGAACGTATCAGGGAAGAAGCGATTTTACAACACTTACCAAAATCAGAAGTTTATCCGAGGCACAAATACAACACACTGGATCATGCGTTGGCTGTAAGCAAGACAAGTAACATGGCAGTTAGTACAATAAAGGACAAAAATGAGTCGTGAGAAACAGTTGTATAAAATGTGTCACTAGTAATATCAAGTTCTGTAACTTGGTACAGCGAATGTTAAACTTTGACACAGAGGCTTAAAGCAAGATAAACTGAGTTGCAAATATTGAAACTGCCATTCTCATGCACGCTTCCTTATGTAAATAGATTTAATTCTGGTGAAATGTTATCGGGTGACTAATTCTCATTTTTCTTCTTCCTGAAGACAGCTTTGCACTCTTACAAAGTTACGTTCATAATAAGTAATAAAAATTATTATTCAACTTTCATACACTGTACGAATTCCGATTTTCTGATTGGCTGATTTGTACCACGTGATGCTGGGTTGTGACGAAACAGCCACCTTGACGTCATTATTGTGGTGTAATAGCCGTGCTGTAAATTCAACACCCCACTGTCATTACACCATGGCTTCGGCTGACTCAAATATAGTGGTTTCAATGCAGTGTTTCTTTGTGCAGTGTATTCAATTTGAATAATAAAAATGTTAACGCACTCATTGCTCGTGAATTGTCGGGATTTACCACTACTCGTTCACTAACAATGAACTCGAAATTTTCAACAGCGCACGAGGATTTGCCGAGTGCGGTATTGGAATTTCTCGTTCATTGTTAGTGAACTCGTGCGGGTAAATCCCGATGATTCACTCGAAGAGTGCCTTAACCTGTAGATAACCTGTAGGACAATCAGTTTTGAATGGAATCGAAGCACGAGAGACGCAGCGAAAAACACTTGCCTTCTGTGTACGTTGACGCCACGCTCTACCACAACCCTCCCCCCCCCCACCCCCGCCACCCTCGCCCCACCCCCAAAAAAGAGAAAATTCCTCTGTCAAACAAATTGTGATGATATGTCTCGTTAAAGTTGGGCTAATCAATCTTAATCCACTCAAGTTCATTCATGACTGCTGCTTCTCAGTATGGACCCTCAAGTGTGAAGACCTAGGACTGATATTCTTCTAGTAAGGTCCTCTAACTAGCTTAATGACAAATATGTATTATCCCTACCGCTAGAGCCTTGCTTACGTCCTTGATGCCCTCTCCAGCTCCGGATGGTACATCATCAATATGAAACATCCTGAAATTAATATGAAATCAATAACAAGTCAACGCTACATCTGACTGTCTTTCTCGTTTTCTTCAGTGTTCGTTACCCTGTTTTTCTTCAAAATACTGGATTAATACTAATGCATTAGTAATTTTCCAAATAATGCTGAAATCTAACAGGCTTAAAAACTTGTGGTTGTTAGTTAGGAAGTGGTTATGTTAGACAGCTGAAGGAAAAATGCTCTCACGACATAATTTATACTAAGTTTATCGAGCAGGATTGTACACTATTTTGTTTTGTCCCTTTCAACTTCGCCTCAGCCATGCCAAGTAATTGTTCGACTTCCTGCCAACTCCTGTTGGGCTGCGTTCATGGGCAACAATGAAAACTTCTGAATACAAAACTTATTATATGGCCACCCATTTATTAAGTTCACTAATAATACTAATAATAACAATATCAACACGCTTTAAAAAGGAATATAGAGAGTTTTCACTCACGTGGCTAGCAGCTACGCAAATGTATTGGCAAAAAGGAAAGTGTTTACATAAGAAAAGAGTTCAACTCCCGAGGATTGATCTGGGACACTACATGGCTGCTATGTCATTGTTTTGAGAAACCAATACAGCTGCCGTCACGTCACGTGAAAACACTCTATATAAAAGTTATAAATGCTAGTACTGTAGAAGACGTTCGCCATTATCAAATGCAATTTTTGTTTTTCAAGTCTCAAGATTCAAATATATAAAATGTCTTAGTTTAGGTGTGAAAGAGTCTTTAATAAGTCGGCTAATTAAACACTTCTACACAAATTGAGTCGCCTTGTACGTTAAAGTATGGTCTCTTTTTCGTTATTA